TCACTAATCCCTAGAAATAAATAGAGTGGACCAGAGGCTAACTTTTCCAATCAGGGTAAGCAATGACCATACAAACCCATGTGTGGCTCTTCCCACATCCAAAGTTGCTGGCCTAAGTTACTCCTTTGGAAGCCAAGCCAGCTCCTCTGCCTTAGCCTGGCTGTCTGCTGGCAGTGGACTGGCAGATGTGGAGATTGCTAAGCACATATGTTGATAGCTCTCACAGTATCTGTGCCCTTTCTAAATGATTATATGAAGCACTACCAAAAAAAAAAATAAACATCTCTGGGTGGTGAACATTCAGAAAAGGCGTCTCTGTCTGACTAAGCTTAAGAGGTCAAAGCTGCATCCAAAACTCATCCTGTCTGCAGTGGGAGTGGGAGGAGGAGGAGGAATCAGAGCCTGGAACCTTGCCACTGTCAGCCAAGGGCAGAACAGGCAGCTGCTGAAATTGTGAGTGAGGCAGAGCCAGGGGAAGTTGGGTAGGAATTCTACCTCAAAACCAAAATTTCAAGCTAAGGTTCAGCCTGAATCCATTCCTGATGACTGGCATTTGTTACACTTTTGAAAGCAGATTTTCACCTACTTACGTAAAGTTTGTCCCTGTACTTTCTGCTAGTGATTTGGAGACCATGTAAGACACAGTATGATTTTCCAAAGCACCTATAAAATCCATTGGAGAAATGCAGCCTTGTGAATGCCACAGAGTAAACCAAGATTCTCAACCCAAGCATGTGCTAGAAAAAGTGTGATAGTTGTTTTCTTGCATTTATGCAGACCCATGTAGCCTTGCTGTGCAAGTGAAACAGATTTTACAGACATGCAGGCTGTTTTCTGGAATGCATTTTCCATTTCCAGGAGCACAGCAGCCAAGCAGCTGGAAACTTATCAAAAAGGAGTGGTGGCACCATGAGTGCTCCATTAAGAAGCATAGTCAAGGTCCAGGTAGGAAACACGAAATGTGGTGGAGAAACGGGACTGTGGAGAATGAGGTTGAAATTCTAAATGGTGTCTGAACCCCTCTGAGGTTTATCACTGGTAGGTTTTGCAATGTGGCACATTTTTGGGTGGACACCTGTCCAAATATGAAGGATCAAACAGAGATTAATAAAAACCTAGAAATTAGTGTCACCAGGTAACTCAGCTGAGTTCACCAAGTCAGGAAAATGATAAACTTGAAGAAGTGCCTAAATGGATTGCTAAGGGCTTAAAACATCTTTTCACACCAGCTGCATAGACATCTCTGAAATGCCAGCACTGGTTAGCTTACCATCTGTGTTATCCCCCTTCTCTTCCCCTCCTCCCGCCTTTATTTTAAGGATTCTTTATGTTGCCAGAAGAAAAATGACTCTTCAATATTTTCAGCGTGTTATTGGAAAGATAAATTTTGAAGAGGAATTTTTGTTGGTTCCAACTCTTGCTATGTAAAGCACGTTTAATAATACTTAACATTTACTCAGCCTACTTATTAATCATTAAAAATACCAGCTAGCAAAATAATACATAGTTAACTGAAATTAAGTAATCACATATTAAAATTACACTACAATACTGCTCAGCTCTCAGAACAGATGGAGAATTCAAGCAGAGAGGTTTTTAAATTATTTGTTTCAGCAACTTTTTAATTTTGTTGCTTCTTAATTTTCAGAAACTCACTAAGATAATTACTGAGTTATATCACACACGATGCTTAGGTATGCACTGCTGGAACATGGCTTTTTATTTTTATCTTTTCCTATGAGATCTGCAGATCCAGCCTCAGCTAGTAGGGCAAGATGAAAATATCTTGATAACAGTGCAAGAGGTCTGACCAGACTTTTCTCTCTGCTTCTCCTTATGGTGCTGCGGTAAATGTGATGGCTCTTAGGCTCTCAGTTTTGTATCTACTCTTTGAATCCTCTTTTTTCCCACAACCAGTTAAAACTAAGAGCAATCCAGATGGTTCACCTTTGTTGGAATAACTGATGCAAGAATCTCTACTAAGAAGATAAAAGGGCTTTAATGACAGCTCTGGAAATACAAACAGTTCCCAAGGAGGTATAACCATTTTAATAAGCGTGGATTTGGTCTCTAACCCTGCCAATTGATACTTGGAAATGTGAGGGAGATGAGGAAGCTGCACAGCACTGCTCCCAGGGCTCTGTAAGAACTCAATGAGGACTGTAAGAGCATCCTCCTCTTGAAAGGGTAAAAGTCCAGGGAAGTGAGGGAACTAAATAGCTGGAAGAACTCAGAAAAGACCTGACGCAAGGAGCAAAGAGAATCTGGACTCTGGACATTCAGAGACACACTGGTGGTTGAGCAATTCTTTGTCAGAGTGAAATATGTGACCACAGGCACTGGGTGTGAGACTACCTCGCTCTCAGGCTAAAAACCATTCCTACATCTCACTTTGAGATCCTGACACTCACAAGGTTTCACCACACATGAAATGACTTCTGCCTTGGCAGTATCAGCTCTTAACGTTTTCAGTTAAGGAAAACTGTTTAAAATCCATAATATAAAAAAAATACACTGCTCTATGGTGTACATACTGTTGTAGCCAAGACCTGCCACATACTTGTTTCCCAGCAGTAACAGGTTGGTCAAAGATTTGACAAATTGCTCACAGCCAAGACTTTCCACACCACATCTCATTACTGAAGACCAGGTAAATTACATTTCTCTTTCTGCTTTATAGATGCCATAAAAATACTGCAGATCTTACAGCTTTATAGTGGACCCCAGCTGGTTCATGTTTGCAAACCTGACTTGCTAAGTTTGAATGACGGCAGCATTTTTAATCAATTTTGAAAGATGTTTGGAATAATTTGTTCTGAGACAGTCATTTTAATTAATGTTGAAATTAACCACCCTTGTTTAAGGGATAGACTCTAGGAAAATACAGAATTTTGCTTTACCTCAGATTTCACTTTGCCTTCTGTTGCTCTGTAGCAGCTCTTTCTGCACTAGGATTCTTGTGATTTCAATATTAATTTTAATCCAAGTTTACATTGGCCATACCTGCAGCTGGCAGAGGGTATAGAGTAACTGCTTTGTTCTGACCTAAAGTAGGAGTACTCAACCGAGTGCTTGAGTTGAGGAGACTTGCAAACTCTTCTTAACTCCACTTGAAACTGGCTTTGCTGCAGTTACTAATGCTGTTGTAATGCCTGGATAGGTAAGGGGAAACAAATAGATGGCAGAACACCCCACAGGGACTGTGGGCACAGGTTGTAGTGAAGGCAATTGCTAAATAAAAAGGAAAAATCTTTACAGCTGAGGGTGAAACAGAGCCACAGGCTGCCCAGAGAGTCTGTATAATCTTCTTTCTTGGGGATACTCAGACTTGACTGAACGAGACCCTGAGGAAAATCCTTGCACCGTTGGTGCTGTCCCTGCTCTGAGCAGGTGGTGGGACAGGAAAGATGCCTCAGACCTGACTTCCACTGGTCCCTTTCAAATTAAGTTTTTCTGAGATCTGTGTTTCAGAATTCCTGGGGAGCAATGGCTTCAGCTGTTTACAGAGGTACAGAGTGTCCACAGCTTGTCTTGATGATAGTGTTTAGCCTGCAGGAGGACATTGACGGGGGTGGATGTAATGAGTGCTGACACTAATTCTCTTTGAATGTGCCCACCTTTTACTGTGGCACAGCCTGCACGCTTTCTTCGTTTGGACTGCTCAAGACAGTAAACACATTTTCTTCTAATGTATTTTTCAAAATTGTGTCTAGATGGTTTGCATGCTGTTCCCATAACTGAGAGGTTATTTTGTCTCCACATTCTTTTGATCGGCAATCACAGAACAAACACAGTCTCCCAGACTGAGGTGGGGATACCTTTTGGCTTGTCCCCTAGGAAAGCTGTGTTGCTGCAGAGGGAAGCTACCCACTGCCCACATTTGTTTGATCCTGTTTCTGCCAGCAGTGGACACAGGAACCTTATCCTTTGACCATATCAATATGTATAAATATCTCAAAGGCAGGTGTCATGAGGATGGTGCCAGGCTCTTTTCGGTGGTCCCCAGAGGCAGGATGAGGAGCAATGGCTGTACACTAAAATGCAAGAAATTCTACCTCAACCTGAGGAAGAACTTCTTTACAGGGAGGGTGGCAGACCACTGAAACGGGCTGCCCAGGGAGATTGTGGACTTTCCCCCTCTGGAGACATTCAAAACCCACCTGGACATGCTCCTGAGTCACAGGCTCTATATTGACCCTGCCTTGGCAGGAGGGCTGGACTGCACGATCTCCAGAGACCTCCTCCAGCCCTCATGATTCTGTGATTCTGCTTCATCTGTTCATGCTTTAGAGAGGAAACATGCTGGCTGCTACTTCGCTGTGAGACACAAAGGATGAGACAAGGAGAGAGCTGGTATCTTTTATGCCCATGGGATTGAGTCTTTGACCTTATCATTTCGGGGACCTCAGAAAACAGTGCGGATGCTTTCGGTGGTGAGCAGACTGTTAGCCCCGGAGTACGGAGAGCGTAACTGCGGAACAGGCTTTTTCACAGCTGTTCCGAGCGCACACTTCCATCCGGCGGAGCACGGAGCTCCCGCTGGGCTCTGAGCCCTTACAGCGAGCGCTGCACGGACGGCACCCACCGCGGGAGAACCGGCTGCGGAGCGGGGGGAGAGCAGCGGGAGAAGCGGCTCCTTGTGTGTGCGAGTGTGCGAGTGTGCCAGTGTGCGTGTGCCCACTTCGCGCTCCCGCTGCCTCCGACCAAGCCCTGCGTGTCCCGGAGCAGGGCGGGCAGAGCGGGCCGGCGCTGTCCCCGCTGCCCGGCCCCCGCCCGGCTGTCCGGGCTGCCCCTGCCCGGCCCGCCCCTGACGTGTGCTCGGGGCGGGGCGCGGGGGCGGCCGGGCCGGCGGGAAACTTCTGCGCCTTCAGCACCACAGACAGGGCGGGCGCGGTGCCGCCGCCCGGCATGCGCGCCCCGCCGCCGCCCCGCCATCTGCCCGCGCCCCACCGCCGCCCCACCGCCGCGCTCCCCGCACAGCCCCGGCCGCCCGGGCGGCGATGGAGGCAGCGGCAGCCCTGAACGAGAGCGGAGCGGCGGCCCCGAGGCTGCCGGCCGGCGGCGGCAACGCCTCGCTGGAGCTCTCGTCTCGGGCCCCAGCGCCCGCCGCCCTCAACCCCTGGGACGTGATGCTCTGCGTGTCCGGCACCGCCATCGCCTGCGAGAACGCCCTGGTTGTTGCCATCATCTGCTACTCGCCCGCCCTGCGCACCCCCATGTTCGTGCTGGTGGGCAGCCTGGCCACGGCTGACCTCCTGGCCGGCCTCGGCCTCATCCTCAACTTCGTTTTCCAGTACGTGATCCGCTCGGAGACGGTCAGCCTGCTGACGGTGGGCTTCCTCGTCGCCTCCTTCGCCGCCTCCGTGAGTAGCCTGCTGGCCATCACGGTCGATCGCTACCTCTCCCTCTACAATGCCCTCACCTACTACTCGGAGAGGACGGTGCTCTGCATTCACACCATGCTGGCGGGTGCCTGGGGGGTCTCCCTCTGCCTGGGGCTGCTGCCCGTCCTGGGCTGGAACTGCCTCCACGACCGCACCTCCTGCAGCGTCGTCAGACCCTTGACCAAGAGTAACGTGACGCTGCTGTCTGCCTCTTTCTTTCTCATTTTCCTCATCATGCTCCATCTCTACGTCGAGATCTGCAAGATCGTCTGCAGGCATGCCCACCAGATAGCTCTCCAGCAGCACTTTCTGACTGCTTCGCACTATGTCACCACCAAAAAAGGAGTCTCTACCCTGGCTATCATCCTTGGGACTTTCGGAGCCAGCTGGCTGCCTTTTGCCATCTACTGTGTGGTGGGGGATCCTGACTACCCGTCTGTGTACACGTACGCCACGCTCCTACCTGCTACCTACAACTCCATGATCAACCCCATCATTTATGCCTACAGAAACCAGGAAATCCAGAGGTCCATGTGGGTGCTCTTCTGTGGCTGCTTTCAGGCTAAAGTGTCCTTTCGCTCACGGTCCCCCAGCGATGTCTGAGTGACTCTTCTCTGTCGAACTGCACCCACTGACAATCTACCCAGTGAACTATCACAGTGCCTGTTCTAAACTTCAAACCACGTCGTGAAGTCATTGGAAACATGCTTAAGTATTAGCACTTTATACATATTTGTATCTCGGAGAGTGGTTCGGGGTATGGAGTTTCGGGTTCCCTGAAAAAAAAAAATAACAATGTGGTTGTATATAAATTTGCACATCACATTTGTGAAGTGAAGACATTCCGGTACCGCTTAATTATAGCACCTTATTTCTAGCTGCTGACCTGCCAAAACAGTGTTGCCTTTCTGAAGGGCAGAGAGAAAGAAAGTTGTGTTCGTGTTGTATTTCTAAGTGTGTGTGTTGGGAGAGGGAAGGGGGTGGGGATGTATGTATGTGATGTATGTGTCTATCTATACTTTGCTGCACAACATTGATAAATTATAACATTTTGTATACAAATAAACATACATAAAATGTAATAGAACCTTGTGTGTTTAGATGCATTTAGAAAGAAGAGAGCTGGCAAATTTGCCAGCTGAGCAAAGTCCCTTTGTTTACTTTTGAAGGCTCCCCATGTAATTCTGCCTAAAAAGATCATCATTCACTGTGGAGATGAAATGCTGGACCAAGAAAAGCACCTTCCTGCTTGTTTGTTTGTTCTCTGCTTTAGTCTGGCAAAGAGTAATGAAGAGCACAAACTATTTTTTTTTTCTTTTCTTTTTTTTTTCCCCTCCAACAACCAAAGAAACAAATAGCCTGATCAAATGGGCTGCTTGTTACGGTTATTCACCAGGTTCCCAGCAGCTTTAATTTTCAAGTTATAAATTAACCCTTTACAATAATGACCCATTTAAAAATTATCAGACTGTGGGGAAAAGCATTCTCTAAGCTGGGCTCTTTTTTCCTGTTTTCATCTATTGCCAAAAGGGAAAAAAAGGAAAAGGGGGAGGGGGGGAAGCACAGTATTTTTTCCCAAAAGCCTATAAATGCCACTATCTGTAGACTTTCCTTATCATCTGCAGCTCTGAGGGGAATCTGAATTGTTTCTCTGCCTCCTTGTGTTTGGACTGCGTGCTGTAGAAAAAGTCATTTAAGTGCATCTTTGCTGTCTGCCTGTCTCAGAGCAGTATACAGTCTTCTGACAATTCCATGGCTTTGTGGCTTCCAAGAGTCCATCAGAGGTCAATGTTGTTCAGAGTTTGGAGCACTCCTTCACTCAGGCTCAAATCCACCAGTGTCTGATTTATTCAGAACAATGGCATGTGCAGCAGATTTCAGAAGCAGTGTTGCTGTTCATTTATCTATAGTTATGCTACACTTACACCTTGGTTATGTTATAGTTAATCACTACCATTTCTGTTTGTGCTTAAAGGCTGAAACAGATTACTGTTACCTGCATGGTACCACATAGGAAGTTTGGACAGGTGCTTTTCCCAGTTTATGACTGGGCAATGGATCAAACTTCTGCCTTCTGGAGAAGTTGGGTCCACAAGGATCCAGCAAGCCTCAGAGAGGCTGTGAATCAGTAATGCTGTATTATGTGCAAGTATTATGAAACACAACAACATTTCACTGATAATACAAAGATATTTCATTTAAAAGAAAAACGGGTATTCCAGACTGCTGGTTCCACTATTTTTATCAATTCTAATAATCATAAATCTGACATTGCAATTGATGCTACCTTCAGGCATGCAGTTCATCAGAGATCTGTTGCAGAGGTGTTACTAATATAATTCAAACTAGATTTTATTATAGGTCAAAATACTGCTCAAATTAAGAACTCTCTAGTTGCTTTTAAAAAAGATTTTTCTACCCTCTTTTTAAGCTCACATCTCATATGCTATGTCTAAGCCAGCAAATAAAAGAGGACCCTCCCTCCAGCCCTGTGGCTGGGTGGCACACAGTGTGCTCAAGTTCCCTTCCCCTTGCAAAGCCAGGGACCAAACTGCTGTCTGGAGCATCCTCACCATGCTCTGACCTCTCCCTGCAGAGACTCAGCCAAAGGTGCTGCAACACCCACAGCAGTAACTGCTGAGGGAAAAGACCAATGAGCACCTCAGACAGGTGAAATGTGGCAAAGCTTTCTGTTAAAACTAGAAAACGTGCCATCTACTAGGCTTTAGCCTCATAAATCTTTGTCATTCCTGTATTGACTGCAACAAAACCATGGGAGAGGGTTGCTGAGTGCAGATCCCCAGACCCTGGCACTGACCCTGCACCCAGGTGTGAGATGGTGTGTAGGACCTGAGTTGGCTTCTGGCAGCCCTGTACAGGCTCTGAAGACCTAAGGCTCTAAAACCCTAAGGAGAAACTTCTTACCCTTCCTTTCAGTCCTTAGGGGGGCAGAACCTGCCACAGATCACCTCTGATGCAACATCCCTCCTTTAACCCTGTCTGGCATGGGAGGATTTTCACCATTAATTCATTGCACAGTGACATGCTGTATAAAGATTAGATAAAGAACTTAACTGAATAAAATCCTACTTCAGTAATAAACCACTTAATTGAAGAGTGTAAAGGAATTAGGTGAGTTACTCTTCCAATTTTAGTCCATGTTGCTTTAAATGAGACTTTGTTCCTTTTTTTCTGTTTTATGATCACATTTTCAGTTACTCCTTTCCCCAATGATTCACTGTATCTAAGAAATAAAGCTGGATCTCTCCTGTTAAAAATGTGACACTTTCAAAGTGTTGCCCCAAGCATTCTTCTCTTCCAGGAAGAAAATCTGGGTTACAGTGATCTTAGCCATGCATTTTCCTGAGACAATACAGATGCAAGAGTTTTTTCTATATTCCACATTCAGAAAGATATGCTGACTCATAATTTCTAGGAAAAACTAAGGTAAAAGATGAGTGAGTGTTTTGATAGGTTTTGGTTAGCCCTGGCAGTGGAGCTGATATCAACCCATTTGCAGTAAAATACAGGTTTAATTTTCAAAGTGAATCCAGATCTGCAGGAACACCTGAGTGGAATAACATAAAGGAGGCTATGTAATCTCTTCTCTCCCCAAACAACATCTCATTTTAGACAATGGAGGAAGTTCAGGAGTTATAGCATGACACCTGTATTTTTCTTTCTGAGTTTTTTCTTGAAACAGCAGACATTTATTTGAGAAAATGGTGTTACGTTTGCAGTATCTGGGCCCACAAACTCCTCCTGTTATCAGATGATGGCACTTTGACCTTAATCATGAAATTATTTGGGGAGATAAAAATTCCTGGAGACAAAAGCCCAGGGGACAAACACATATCTGCTCAAGGGGGACTGTGTCTGGTCTTTTATTTCCAAAAGTCTGTGGGCAACTTTGCCTGCATGGAGACCAGGACTGCAATGGCAATTGCCATTACTATTTCCTTGTCCCTGCAGGCCCATGGGCTCAATGGTTTTTATGTTCTCATGTCAATGATGCAGTCTGTGAGGAGAGAAAACACACACTGAGTGAGGTGCAAGGATTAGGCCCAATGTTTTCTTGTGGTGTATTCTTTGTAATCTTTTTTGGAAATGGAAATGAGATTTCCTGCTTTACCACTCTTAAAAATCTTTGCCTTATTCTGATCTAGGTAAAATAATGACAGACGTGGTACAAAGAGCTCCCAGCCTGTTCCCACTGAATCCAGAGAAGTGATGCTCTATTGCACTTCAGCCAGGATAATGGCAGTATCTCATTACAAAAAAGTTATCATTTTGGGACAGGCCTCAGCTCCAATCTTCATTAGAAACTAATGGTTCATTACCAGCCTTGAAAATCTTAGAGGACTTGCAATGCCTTTCATGACCAAATCCCAGTTATTTGGTTTGCTTGAAGTACCTCTCACTGTGACGAGCTCCCTTGTTTCAGCAGGAACAATTACAGAATGAAGATCAGAGCTCTGGTGGGGAAGACCTGGTTGGGAGCCAGACAGGGCTGAAAGCCCCACACACTGCTTGATTTTCTGTGGGGCTTCTGCCTAAATCAGCAGTAAAACAGTGGAAAAGAGACTCACTCTGCAGGCTGCTTTGTATGAGTCACTGTATATTAAAAAGCCAGCTGGATTCAAAATCACAGGTCAAACAAAAACTCTTTATTTAGCTAAGCAAACAAAAGGACAAAACACTTTTAAACCTGAAAAGTGAGTCTGTACATATTTTTATCAATGTAATGATCCACAGGTACTAAGTAACACCCGACGAAGCATTAGAACCTCTAATCTCCATTCTGCTTCTCTCCCTCTAAAAAGGATAAATTTTTGTAATGAGGTAAAAATAATTTCTGATATTGCAGCTGCCCCTCAGCATTTCAGCTACCTGTTGTAGCAGTCATTATTAAAAAGAAAAAAAAAAAAAGATTAAGGGCAGTAAACAAAAATGTTTTCTCTTTCTTACTGCTTTATGATGAGAAGTGTGACTTGGAAGGAGTGACCAAGCAGGTGAGATTCAGCTCTGCATGGAGGATGAGCAAATCTGGATCTCACCTTAATGCTTGCTGGGTTTGCTTGTTTGGGGGGCAGTCTGTGTTGTGAAGTGTCTCCCCATCACCTGATCCTCGAGCGAGCTCCTCCCTTGAAAGCTCACAGAAAGCAGCTCCCGGGCTGCTGCATTTTGCTCAGGAGTGCCTCTCAAAAATCCCCTGGGCAGAAAACCACTATGCCTTTCCCTGCCCTCTTGATGCTTAAGCTCTTTCCTCTGACTACAGAAAGCTCTCCCAGGGACAACATTCCCCAGGTGACAGTTCCATTTATTGAGGGCAGTAACTCCAGTGTCCTGGAAATAACCCAGCTGCTACTGGGGCAGCTGGAGAGCGGTAAGCGCTGACTCAGTGCTGACAGCAGAGGTGGCAGCCGGTTCAGAGGAGGCAGGTCTGCTCGTGTCAGCTCTGTCTGCTGCAAAGAAGTGACAGAAGGCAGCGAGAGGTGAAACAATGGTCAGGTCTCTGGGAAGGCTCCGCATGTTGCAGCAAAGTCTCACAGTGAAGGGCATTTTCCAGCAGATCCTCACCCTTTTTTAAAATTAATGTACTT